CCAGTGCTTATAGGCGAGAGAACATAAGGCATTTTGGGTAGGGCAAAAGAGAACGTCTTTCAAAGCGGGATTTGAGGCAGAATAAATAGTTGCTGAGCAGTGTGCTCTGCAATAAGAATGAGCAACGCTCCGTTGGATAGAGCGCGCACACTTTATTCTTGGACGAAGATCTGTAGACATTTTTGCCGATATGACTATTGTGAAGAATACCTCCCATGAATGGCCCGACGTCACCAACGGAACATCGTGCAGGTAATACTTCGAAGAGCGATCCAATTAGTCTCCGAAGTCCGCAAAGTCAGCAAATTTCTAGAATAGGAATAATTCCTGATTTACTGTACTCTCAGCAGCGGTATTAGAGAAATGCTTAGATGCGCGTTTCGCCAAATTTGCGTCTCTGTATGAGGAAGCAGCAAGGGGTCCAGTTCATCAGTGAGTCCCTCGGAGCTTCCCGTGTGATTTCTGAAGCATATTCCAGGTTTAAGCGTTAAGCACTTTAAGTTTCACAGACGTAATAAGTGAAATTGGAGTTAACTGTCCGAGAGAGACCTCCTCACATTCGGTCAGATGGCCTTTAACATAGAATTATGCACGAAACAGGTCCTGTGTTTTCCTGAGGCCCTCGTCGGTGTCGTCAGCCAAACAGATTTTTCTAGCCCTTCTCGCTAAACTATATTCCGTCTTCTTTGGAGAGGTGCGAAACTATAGAAGTGCGTAAATTGCCCAGAGCAACTTTTCGCCCGATAGACCCTCCGAGGTATGTAGTTACATTACTTATTTCCAATACTCATATGTGTTAATTTCTACTACTGCTTTTGTAAGAAGCCGCAGCTACTCGGAGGAATGATTTGACCCGCGGGCATGTTGGGCCTACAATGTCTACATGTGATCATTTATGACGGTTTCACTAAGTACTTGCGCTGCTTAGTAGTCACGGGTTTACAGCTGTTGCTAGTATCGTAAGCAATCCAGTCAATTTATGTTTTACTAGAGTGCACATTTAAAGGCCTAATTATAGAATCGTGAAAAGAAACTAAAATGACCTTCAGCAAAACACATCTTTAGGTATTTTGAAACCGTCGGAAAGAAATGCAAATGCAGACTGTTTTTAAAATACATGTATTGACAGTCTCTCAATACTCTGAAATATCCTGTGCTTAAAGACGTATTAGTTCTGCACAACATAAGTCCTGAAAAATAAGTAAGAGCAGACTTGCTCTAAGTTTCTTACAGGTCAATGCTCGGTTTCACTGAGAGCGTCTTGAATATAGACACTAAGAAAAGAGTGACGCCTAATGATACTGGTGTCTGAATTTTTCCCTTGCGACGCTTTCGAAGAGGCTCAAGAAGTATGCAAATGGAAACCGTAGTCATAACTTTCAGTTTCTGAAGCAGCCCGTTTGCGAGCTTGTCTCCATGACTGCTTCCTGATTGTGTCTTTATGACACTTCCCTGCATGTAGGCTCCGAAGCGTCCCCATGATCGCATGATACATGCTGTGAGGACGGGGCCGCTTGTGGCACGCGTAGGCAGGTGTCCAGCGCTGTCAGTCATCCCACTTGAAACAGTCTCTGACCCTCCTGGCACTGTCTCTTCATCGGGGCGAGGCGGGTGGTAGAGGAGAATGTGCGGAAGGTGCCACAAAACTCTGTCATGCCATAAAATAATCCACACTCAAGTCACCGTCCTGCTTCCGCTCTGTGGGATGTACGGTAGAGGTAGTCATACTGACGCTTACCTCGTGTTAGCCACTGCCCCCGGTCCCATTCCAATGGGCTTAACACGGACAAGTAACGGGTACATTCCTCACTACAGTCAATTTCGTGTGCTTGAACCTACCACAGCACGTTAAATGTTATAGCACATAAAGTTGGTAATTGAGAGAAAAGTTCGGTTCTCCTTAGAACCCGACATCAGACTGCATGGACGCCTTTCTTATATGAGCTTTACGCGATCTCAGATATGTAGAACTAATCGCCGAATCCAGTTACATGCCTTACGTACTCGTGCGGACTCTTCATTGCTATCAGCCATTGCATCCAGAAACATCTCTACGACTCTCGATCGCCGTGTCACTGGGACACGATGGGCAGTGGGTAGCACGTACGGCAATTGCATTACAGTTTCACGCAAATTTCATCACTTCATACATCTCAGAGCCGTTGTAAACCTCGTCATTGGCGCTGACTGAATCGTTTTAAGCTGAAAATCCACTCGAATATACCCAGTTCCTCAATCTTTATGCCTAGCGCACCTATCCAAGCACACTGCGTCCAAGTAAGTTGCTCAAAATACAATAGTTACAAAACATATTGCCTGGCTACGATCGGAAAATATCAATTTAAATTTGCTAACATTCAAATAAACAAAAACTAATGTCTTGAGTGAATACCACAGTATGTAACTAAACTGATAAGGCATTCTGATCATAGTCCAGGTTTTAAGTTCGGAGTCCTTCAAACATTACAAATTTTGCCGATCAAAGTGAGGAAGAGAGCTTCAGGATCTAGTTAATAAGAAGTAGAAGCGATCTATGGAACAGAAACTTTAGTCCCTTGACATTTGGGATTCCCGCTCGAACCCAGCATCAGATATAGTGACAGATGAGTGTGATTAGTGCACTGGAAGCTGCGGTATTTATAGGATGCAGTCACTGTGCTACTGCATACCTGTGATAATTAACCGCCCTCCCCTTCATCGAGGATTGTTGCCCGCTGGCGTGCTAATTGCTTGATGTCCGACCAGTAAGTTGGTACTTGCTGAAATCTCACGACTCGTGTTGGGTGCTGGTGTGATGATTTCTCGGTCATCTGGCTCACCGGCCTGCGCGCTCCACGAATGCTTAAGTACTTTGGACAGACTACGCCTTATCATCGAATATGGATTTGGGATGTCACTGCACTAGTTGATAGACAGGGAGCCAATGGTCTATGGCTCAAGCAACTCGCCGCTCCGCGATTATTATCTCTCGCGAAGATTTCGGCCTCATCGAAATTGAATGTGTGGCCGGGTCTCATCGAGTGGGCCGTAACTTGAGAGTTGGCGTCATTTCTCCACACCGCTGCAGCGTCTTCGGCGATTCGCGTCCGGAGCAGTCTTTCGGTTTCTCCGACGCAGTCTCTTTGTCCACAACTGCACCAAATCCGGTAAACGACTCCAGATATTTCTTGCCGTCGTAATGGGTCTTTTGGTCTCATCATATGATGCCTACTGGTTGCCTCCGGTCTTTGTGCAACTCCAACCCCAAGTGGTGCGAGAAGGCGACTAACGGCCTCGGAGACTCTATTGACGTACGGGATCGATCGCAAGAATTAGGGGTTTTTGCGAAGGTATTGCAGTTTGGCAATCTAGTCTCCCGACTCATTGCAGTGGGTTTCAACAAGCCAGTAGATCGTCCTTACGCAACTGCCTTTGTGGCTGGTTGGGTGGTCGTTGATGAAGTTAATACTTGCATCGTGTTTGTGGATTTCCTGAGCACTTTGATATGTAGGTCAGCACAATTTTTGTGACAGACGACGACATAAAGGAAGACCAGCTGGTTATTTTCTTCCTCCTCCATCGCAAATTGAGTCTCCGGAGGGACGCTGTTGAGACGTTCCTTGAACGTCAGTACCTGATTCCGCTCAATGACGATGAAGGTGTCGTCCACAAATCGAGCCCAGAATGTCTATCTGTGGTGTTGGAAGACCAGCGAATCTACCCCTTGTAGGACCGTTTTTACTATGAGTCCTGAAATCGGCGAACGCATTGGTGTTCCATTCACCTGCTCGTAGAATGTTCGGTCAAACGTAAAGTACATCCTAAGAGAGAACTTCAGGAGCTGAAGACTTGGGTATGTCCTAGACGATTCTTTGTTTCATCGTATTGGCTTTGTAGGAGTAGCTCGGCTGCCAGATCCTGGGGAATAGAAGTAAAGGAGGACGTGACATCAAAAAATACCACGGCGTCATTTAGCAAGAGACCTACCCCTTTAGGCTCATCCAAGAATTGTTCTGACGAGCAAACCGTGGTGTTCGAATCAACGGTCAGAAATCTGAGACGCCGGAAAAGCCATTCTGCCAGTCCGTACCCTGGAGTGCCCTGGAGCGATACGATGGGCCGGAGAGAAGCGCCTTCCTTGTGCACCTTGGGGAGGCCATAGAACACGGGTGATGCGATTTCAGCAAGTACAAACTTACTGGTCGGACATCAAGCAATTAACACGCCAGCGAGCAACAATCCTCGATGAAGGTGACAGCTATTAATCATCACAGGTATGCAGTAGCCTAGCGACTGCATCCTATAAATACCGCAGCTTCTTGTGCACTAATCACCCGCATCTGTCACTATATCTGATGCTGAGTTCGAGCGGGAATTCCAAATGTCAGGCGAATAAAGCTTTTGTTCCAGTGATCGCCTCTACGCCTTATTACACGTTTTACCCACTAACATAGCATTTGCCGTTTTCTTATGCGATATGTAAATAAACTACCGTTTGACAAGATGCGAGCACTTTTGGGCGAAAGCGATTTCTTTTTACTCCCAAAATTTCGTACGTCATTTACTACCGTCGATCATTTTTGCATGACTGCAAATGGATAGGCTTCCTAAAGGGTTTTTAAGCAATGTAAAACTTGATATTCCAGATATGAATGGTAAAGTTGGTTTCAGAACAACTGAAACCATTTTATACCATGGAGAATTTTTCCTGCACAGATGTATACAAAAATCTAATAATAACGTCGTTTTACACCATACTTGACAATTTAGGCATATTCAAGCATTCAAGCGTTGGCCGCGGGAAAATAACGTTAAAGGTTACGTCTAAGGTAAGGTAGTTTGTGGAGGCGAAAGTACGAGCCAGGTTTATTAAGGAATGCCTCTAGGGAAACGAGTACCCGAACTCCTACTGGAGAGCAATGCGACGGAGTCGTACGGTTATCACCTGTGATACCTTAAGAAGATATACCGAAAATGAACTAGAGAGTACGCGTGTAAAGGTGGAAGAGCTGAGGCGTCACATGTGTCAACGGGCAGCCGTACGCGATCAACTTGGCGGAGAAGAGCGACAGGAATTCGAGAATTATGTGCAATCCATTTCGGAAAAACGTGGAGAAATCAAGAGGGCTTCCTTTCTTCGAAGTATTCATGAGGGCAAACCACAATCCAAGATTCCTGAAGATCTAAGTCGGTACGTACACAATTATTCGTCCATATCTCTCGATAAAACAGCGACTGAAGCCTTATCGTTGGGTCCTAAGTTTTGCTGTCCTCGCCAGAAAACCAATTCGAGAACCTCTTGAATCAAACACATGACCTTCAGCCATTTTCGACAGAGAGCGTACAACATCTTAAGTCTACGTTAATCAATTGCTCTTATCAATACCTGAACCGTCGTCAGACATATCGGGGCTTGCTGACTAAGTCACACATTGAGAAGTTAGAGCAGCTCCGGCAGAACAAAGACGTTCTGATAAATAGGCCAGGTAACGGAACTGGCTTTGTTTTGATGGACAGGAGAGACTATATTACGAAAATACAGTCAATTCCGTCGGATCAGGAAAAGATCCGAAAAACAGAGAAGGAGAAGGATCATACAGATGAGATTGAAGCACAACTGACTGACTGCTTGAAAAGACTTCAGGCGGATGGTTGCATAAGCGAACACGACGTAGAGCGCCTCCGACCCGTCCGCACGCATATACCTAGATTATAAGGTTTGCCGAAGATCCACAAAGACGGCGCACCGGTTCGTCCAATCCTCGACATGAGGAACTCGCCGTACTAGACAATAGCGAAATGGTTGGCGGAGAAACTTAAGCCTCTACAGTATCAACGAACGCCACATAGTTATCGAGATACTTTTGGATTCATTAACGGCGTGAAAGACTTCAATCCGAACGAAATGGTCGTGTTTTCGTTAGATGTCTCATCCCTTTTTACAAACGTACCGGTAACGGAAACGGTCAATTATCTTTGTGATTTCATCGCCGACAATCAACAGGATATAGGAATGCCAGTGAATGCCATCTAGGAATTGTTATTGGGGCCCACATTGGACGTGCAGTTCCTATTAAACAACAATCTGGATAGACGGATGGACGGCGTAGCAATGGCCTCGCCCCTAGGCCAGCTTTTAGCAAATATATTCATGGGAAAGTTAGAAGCTTTCCAGCTACGCCACCAGATCAACGGTCTATGATACTATGGGCGGATTACATAAATCAGACGCACCCATCAATAAAATTCCCTCTGGAAGAAGAACAGTCCGGTTCACTTCCGTTTTTGGATGTGCTTTTGAGTAGAAGACCTGACGGCAGCATTCGACGTAGCGTCTTTCGTAAAAAAGTGGTCCGGACAATACATTCATTTTGGGAGTTTTGTACCGCTAACCGTTAAACGTAATTTAGTCCGTTGTTTGATAGAAAGAGGGAGAAGAATCTGCTCAGGTGATAGCGTTGAGAACGAGCTTAAGATAGTCGAAAGCCTCTTTAGCCATAACGGGTATCCTGATCGATTCATTGCTAAGAACATGGCCGAAAGACCACAAAAGCTCCCGATACTGACGGCAGGAAAGAAAAGGCATTTCATCAGGGTCCCATTTCACGGGATACACCAAGTGAACTTTTAAGAAGACGCCTAACTCAAGCTGCATCACAGGCCTTTCCAGCCGCTGCCACCCGTGTACTGTTCTCCACCAGTCCCATCCTATACGGAGAGGGCAAAGACAAACTACCAGCTCAGACCACCTCCATGTGTATTTACTCATTCAGCTGCTCCTGTGGGGCAGAATATATTGGTCGCACGAGCCGGCGTTTATCCGAAAGAATAAAAGAACATCTCCCAGCATAGTAAGGAAAGGGACAAACAAAGAACATCAACAGCTCAATCCTCACGCACATGGTAGACACAGACCACCGTGTAGACGCCAAAGAGGCCTTCAAAGTGATTTAGAAGGTAGCATCAAGCTACCATCAAGCTATCCAAAAGTGCTTGGGCAGCGTTTGTTGGCTACGGAAGAGGCGGCTGCAATCAGGCTACGCGGACCGGTCATATGCGCACAGAAGTATTTCATACACGTCCCACAGTTGCCATGGCTTAAAGCCACCAAGCCAGCCACCCTCGCCGGCACCCACCTTCTCCCTGGCGCAGACTGGAATTGTGGTGTTTCACTCTCCCCATCCCCTCCCCTCCCACCTCCAAACCCGAGCTACAGCTTAATTATTTGCTTGTTCGTATCTTTTAATTCATTACCTCAATAGCCCTTTAAATTTACGGGCTTGAAGAGAATTTATCGGAAGCAGACGTATGCTCGTCAACTTGCCTTTTGAATCTTACAATGGGAATTTTCGCAACTTTATTTCCAGTTAATACGCAAAATTATCAGTAAACATTGCACTCAGCATGCGCATGAGAACTACTTTGATATTTATATGGCCATTCTCTAATGCATCTGATCTCCCAATATTCGGTCCGGAACGGTGTAAGGACAGTAAAACTGCCCTGAAATAATAAAAAGGAAGATTCCTTGTTTACGACGGAATAAGCTGTTAATGTGTGCCAAGAGGGAGCAAAATAATCCAGATTGCTCCTTGCTTTGTTAATATGGATGTTGAAAGGCAACATTCTCCAGTAAGGTCCTTTTCACAAAGAGAACTTGCTGGGGGTTTCGATTTTATCAAATGGGTGTCTTCCATATGCCTTTGGGTGCGGAGTATCCTGACCTTCACTGAACATATTCAATAGTTTGAAGAGAGTTCTAAATAATCATGTGCACAAAATGAACCTTCATGAACCCCAGCATGAGGAAGAATTTAAGAACTCCCTTATTCAGGAAGTGTTTATTGTCATAACTTGTATATTCCATATTTTTTGGTTAATCGACTAAGAATAACGAGAACCGCATGACATTAACTGGCGTTTTATGGACACCATGTGACTGTCTGGCTCGACAGTCGCCAGAAAGCCCGCAGCAATTTTGGGGACGACGACTGCCCCTAATACATGAGACGTGATAATTTTATTATTTCATTTGTTAATTATGTTTCAACTTCATAGTCACTAACCTACCTTTCGACATGTGATCCAGTGGGAACCTCCGTTTCAGAGGCGTCAACCTTTGTAAACTACAGGGCAAAATCGAAGTTAGTTGAAATCCTGTCTGCTTGCGTCAGCTGCCTCTCGAGTAATGTGAAAACAATATACAACGAATTATTTCAATATCCTTTTGGAAAACCGGCAAACCTTGCTGTTCGTTGAGGACATCGCGAACAGTTGTAGGCTGCAATGACCTAAGCGTGTTTTTAGATGATGCTGTGGTTTCAGTTTTTTCAAGTCCCTCGATTTACATTAACACACAGGGCGCATATATAGAAGTGAAGTTATCTCATTTAACATGAATTTTCGGGTTTCGTCGGATTTTCCCCTATAAAGCGTTGGTATTTCTATCTAATGCAAGACTGGATTTAGTGCTTTGTTTCGGCTTCCATCCGTCTTAATCAGGTCTGGTTTCAAGTTACTAAGAATGTTTGTGCATTTAAGTAAAGATTTTGAATTAGATCGCCTATTCAAGCTCAGTTAACTACCAGTTTTTTTTTCGCAGCACATCGTCCTGGATGACATGACGATCGAGGCAGATAACTTTTCTACTCACCTCTCTTCTTCTGTGCTCCTGACAGCCTGATACAGCGCAGGTATCTAGCGAGTAAGATGCTCTGTTTACAATGAAAGCGGTTATGGCTTTATGGAAGCGTTCGCTTCTGGAGAGAGGTCGGAGTACACAAGGCCACGGTTAAAGTACTATAACTATGAAACTTTACAACTAGGATTTTCTGAAGTGAGAAAAATCGTCATGTGCTTCAAAGTGTGTCTATTGAGCATCCCGTGACAGCTGGGCAGGGATCAAACCCTGAACATAGAAGTCCGCTGCCGATCGTTGAGGTTGTTTAGTCTCGTACTTTGCCTACCAGAACGACAGCTTGTCCGGGACAAAACTTTTCTTAATCTTGTTTGATTTATTCACACAACTGTGGTGGCTATCCTAAAGGCGAGGCTCGTGCTGATGTTGGGGAGGGGGGGAGAGCGATGTTCGTCGGTGTTTGGGAATGGGACCCTAATATCGTTTGAGAAAGACCCGTGGTTTGAGTCGGGTCAACCGGTCAACGAGTTAGTTTAACCACAGGTACTAGTCATGTTGGTTGCGGTCTGAAATATTCGGATTCATATAAGAGCGGGCTTTCACTGATCTATTCGCTGAACAAAACATACCCTATTTGCTTTGTTTTTGAAGTTAAAGCTAGTTCTCCTTCAGGCGATCCACTGGCCACAAGTCTGTAGCCCAACTGCCAGAACATTTGGCTGAAAAGTGCAAGGGTCAACAGAACCATGCTTAAGTGCCCGATCGCCCCAGCCTGGGAATTGGCTCTGGTTACCTAAAGGCGAAAAGTAACCTTTAATGCCTACTCCAGTTCACATGGTCTTTGTCAGAATTACGCTTGCGATCTTGGCGTCAAAGGATGGCCGGTTGGAATTCATGACTTTACCTCCGACGCAAAGCGGAACGAGCGTACTGCAGTCTACATGGCGTCGCCACAGCGACCAAACACCCCCTTGTTAGCTTACTACTCGCCCAAGTACGACAGTCTTCGGCTTGCTAACTTTGGCGCCGATCATTACTCTGTCCCTCACTGATTGGCCACAGCCTCACATGACACAGCTACACGCTCGCACCTCTCGTTGGCGAGCACAACATAAGCGGTGGTTTTGACCTGGCTGAACTATTCCTGCCGCTGCCTTCTGGACTGCTTGTAATGCCAGGCCGAAGCGAACATTGCCCTGACTTTTGATTCGGTAAACTCCTCGTTGTCGATGCATCGTACTTTGATGATTTGCGACCTCTTTCGAATACCAGTCTTTCTCATTCTCGGTCTCCGAGATAGCCAGCTGATAACAGCGAGAAAATTTCTGCCAGAACTACAGCAGATCTTAGCACCTGCTCACCGGCTCGTTCCATTTTCAAGTTTCACAACTTCCAATTAATCAATTCTCACGGACTTGAGGTCACAGATGGTGGCGCTTCCCGGGTTTTAGCTTCGCTTCAGCAGCAAACAATCCTCTGCATTCCGAAGAGCACCAGGTCATCTTCCCGGCTTAGGCAACTGCCAGCAGTTCTGTCTTTACGATCAATTAGTTCATTTTGCCAGCTACCTAACAAGTACTACGACCTCACGCCTTCTAATTTCCACTCACATACCCCACCGGACGACGTCAATCATCACCGTCCCTCCAATGGTTTGTAAGTCCCGCTTTCTCGTATCTGCACGTTCAGATGCAACCGAGGCTGAGTTCAAACACGGACTTAAGATAAACATTGCCAGTCAGACGGAGAGTTCTTAGGCCTCCCACGTCTGCTCCCGGTCTCCTAGTCTGCCACTGTTGAAAGATGGCTCTGCGGTGACTACAGGGCCTTGAATACCTTCGCTTCTCTTAACTGCAATTCTGTTCCGCATCTGAATGACTTTACTAATATCCTATTCGGAAATCTGTCTTCGTCAAAAACAAACTGGTCTGGATACTCTAGCAGACTTCATTGCACTCAAAAACGTTTCAAAGTCCACCGTCACCACGCCCTCGTTTTCTTCGAGTTTCTGCGCATGCCTTGTGGACTCAGTGATGCCCCCAAACCTTCCAGAGTTTTGTAACCAGAGAACTTCATAGTCTACCCATTGTTTAAGCCTATAGTGATGGCCTCTCGATTGCTAACACTACCAACAAAGAACACGTGGAACATCTTGCAACGGTGTTTGATCGCCCACAACGCCAGTTTTAGCAGTATTCTGCATGTTGAACTTTTGCCTGCGGTTCGTCTCCAACCGTGTTAACACGGACCTGCCCCGCAAGAACTTCATTTTGAATCCAACTAATTGTTCGAGTTCTCCGCAGACACTCTCGCCATTTTTATAAAGATGAATACTGTTTGACAGGCACCGTGTTCCTGGCTCAATTTCCTTTCAAACGTTTAGTTTTCTCATGGCTAATGCCTTCTATACTGCAGTCATTGCGGTTCTTCAAAAACATCTTGCAAGCCAGATCCAACATATGGCTTCCAACTCTGGAGAGTTATTGCCTCACAAATCGTGCTTTGACCGTCTAAGTAATCGTAAAACGATCTTGGCGCTATCTGGTGAACAGCTGCATTGTCATATTTACGGGCTACGGACCTTTGTCTATCGTTCTGAAATCCCATTACGACCAATCTAACTCTTCCCGGGGAGATTTGCCAATTGAACCATATCTCACAGTTCACTTCTCATTTCCGCCACGTCGACGGACCGTGGTCTGAGGTTGTTGGTATTTCATTTGGAACCTCCATCGTCCATCTTCAGTTCTCACCAGGAATCGACCTCGTTAAGATGTATGCAGACCAACTCCGCGTCAGTTACCTTTGCAATGATGACTTATCTGAACTCCAAACCCACTGCGACGTCTCCAAGGTTTTCTCATCGCCCTGCATAACTTATTATTTTCCGTGGGAGTTTAGCTCTCGATAAACCGGCTCTTGACTTTTTTGCCCAGTCTAGGATGCAAAAAGACTCAGTTATAGACGAGGAGAGTGGTCCGGACGCGGATGGCCGAGCACGCAGTAGCGGTGGGGAGGAAAGACACTAGCTCTCAGGTGGCGTTTCATTCCACGGAACCTGGTCATATTTTCAAGTTTCAAGAGACCGAAATCCTCACAGGAAGTGAAAACTGAGTGAGCCGCGAGCCGCTCGAATCACGGTTCTCAAGTCCGCTATCTATCAACCAGCGCAATGACCTTCCGTTACTATACTCAGTGCTGCGACATTCCCTGCTCAGGGGATCCAGTCACGTGAGGAGAGCGCGAGCGAGCAACAATCCGAGTGACAGCGAACCAAATTGTCGAGTCCTTATCACGCCAACACCCAACACAGATGATGATATTGCGGTAATTAACGACCCCGACGTGGACTGACGCGCCATCATCGCATCAATTACGATCCCCAGCAGTGGTAGCGAAAGCTGCAAATTATAGTACCTATGTGGTCCCACGGCAGTTACGTACTATAAATACTGCAGTCTTTGTGCCTCCACTACCCTTATCTGCGACTGTCTCTGATGAGTGGTAGGAGTGAGAATCCGAAACGTCAGGCCAGTAGACTCCTTGTTCCAGTGATCAAATCATCTTCTTCTGAAATGCTTCCTGGCACTCGCCTGTTCGCTTCTATCAGGAGCGGTTATTTCGACCTCACATCATTTTGCCTTCGTTCTGGTTGGGAGTACTGTGGCAATCTGCTACCACGGTCATTAGTGCGGCTGCTTTCTCATGCTACCCTTTGTCCATACGAGATCGTCCCCCAAGGAAGCACTGCGCCATGAGTATCTTGACTTGGGTGTGGCGACCCAGTAACGACAATCAATGTATCGCCCACTGCTAATTAGTTACAAGCGGACAAAACCCAGACGCATGCACGGGTTACGTGCCGGAGCTAACTGCGTCAAACTGTGGAACTGTGCCGAGCCGCTCTCTTACTACAGTGAAATTTGTCCAAGTAACTCCATCTTTCATAACTTTTGATTGTGGAAGCTACTCATATCGACGTCGTAATTCGCCAAGCGCACTTGGTCCTATAATCAGTTTAATTAACCACCACTCGAAATTAACTTCGAAAGACACAACTTTAACTATATTGCCATGAGCGCTGGATCAGTTATTTTTGGTAATCATATAATACAAGCCGTTCGTCTATTTTACCCTTCGACTTTTATAAGCATCCTCTTGCACGTAGAGTATTGAGCAGATGGTCAAATTAACGTGAATAGCATGTCGGGACTGGTCTGTAATTGAAGTCCTACTGTTAAGTGAACGTCCTCACAGTGGGCCACGGATCAATGGCAACTCATCGAAAAAAATTGTCTTAGGTGGAAATGCCCGTCCATGGAACTACAGAAGATGTGCTATCTCATGAAATGTTGACCAAAATTGGGAAGTGTGTCTTCAGTTAGAAACGATTACTTAAATCGAGTCGCAAACCTAACTGCCGCGCAGCACGATCACAAGATATTTCAGTAGCACGCGGATGCCAGCTTTTGAAAGAGCAAAAACTTCACTATGTGAAAAATCAGCACAAAGTCGCATGAGTTTTTCTTTTTAGTTTGGACGCCCTTGTAAATTTAAATATGATTCGTAGAAAAACGTGCGCGAAATTTTTTTCCTATGCTTATTTTTTCTTTTAGTAATCTTCGTCTTCAAACTTTTCCCTGAAGAAATCGTACTTTTATGCTTTAATGGGACCTTCTTAATTCCCTAATAGTTTTGAAACTGACCTGTTGTTGCTCATATACTCGAAGTTTCGAAACTAAAAGCTGCATAATTGTAAGGAAAATCGCACATTTATGCATGTCATTATGAAGATTTTATATAGGACTTATGCAATTTTGCAAACGATATAGATCGCGATGTATACCTTACAAACGGCATTAATAAATATGCGGATATGACGCCTTATGGGTAGACATTTAACGGTCCTACACGCTCGTAATTAAAAACTCTTTTACAGACAAAAAACTGCTTCGTCCTCAAGCACAAAGTTGAAGAAGAGGTAACTGGCTAAAAAATAACTACATGAAAAATATTTTGTGCGTGTTTTCCACAGAAGACATTTGAATTTATAAGGACGTCGAAAATACATAGTAAAATATCATACTAAGTTTTAGGCACATTTTACAGGGTAAAGTTTCTGCAAGTGGTCGGGAAGACGCTCATTAAGCAGCCGGGATCATATTGTGACTGAACTATTTTGTCGTTATTCTGTGCGATACCTAGCCTTATCACCCTACCAGGGTAAGCATTTCCAATTAAAGACACATTGCGGAATTTCGGATAACACTTTCTGAAATAGTAAGGATGTTACCCTTAAATCTACACCCGAGGGCAGACACTACAGTAATCCACTTGAAAATGAGTCACTTCTCGATCGTATTTCTTCATTGACTGGTCATTCACTCTTATGCAGTAGTGGCCTGATAATATTCAATTTCCAGTTATTTAGCTTTGCATCAGACTGGGAAAGAGAAAATAGAGGTTCTCCTATGGGACCCTTTTCCAGATATTAGACAGTTGTTAATATTCTGCAGTTCGAACCAGGTTAATTGTTCTTCCGTTGTTAGGCGTTTTCATTGGTGTTTTTCAACAAAGAGACGCACTTTAAGACAGGATGCATCAATGCTGAATTTAGGCATTCCATATCCAAGTCGCAGGAGCGTTTTCTGCGAAAAATAAAAAAATGTAAACAACTGTGCGATTTTACGTTACATAAAACTGGCATCAAACAGTCCACAAGTAAAAAACTTCTGTTCGTATTTGTGCCTCGAATAGAAACTGTTTTTCAAGGAAACTGAAGCGCATATGGAGATTTTGACGCGCCTAATGTGTGGACACAGATAGGGATTACAAACTACGGGAAGACATTTGAATTCAGTAGTACGATATATACACACATTTGATGAAATGTGATTTACGAACCTCTTTTACTCTCGGCGTTAGCAGGAAATATTTTTCTCCCGAAGAGTGTCAACTTCGGTTCAAGAAAAAACTGTTTGGCACGTAGAGTTTCCATGAATATGTTTTTGGAGCCTCGTTAACTTTATGGGCCACTGCGTTTTAGAAGTGTGGATTGTATTTCATTGAAGGTTTGTTTCAAATGTTGTCAGACAGGGGTGCGCATTGGGAACTATATAATCTTACTGAACATATTTAGTTACTTTCGACAGACACAATTTTTGTACCAGAGACTGCATTTGTGAATTTCTTTGACCTGATTACCAGGGAATTGGTATCTGAACCTTGCAAAATAGGCATTTTAACCTGAAAAATTGGGCGATTATTCATTTTTTCGGAAGTTGACTATGTTGGCTAGAAGTTCGGTGCGGGCAACACATGTTCCACCCTTCTGATTGATCCAAATACACTGTGAACCACGAGCAAAACTTACTCTTATTTACCTTTAAAAAATAAAATCCTATCTAAGAATACTTATTTGCAAAGAAACGCTTGCCTGACGGCAAGCGCAAACGCATTTTTGAGCGAATATAGGTAATTACTTCTTTGTGGTAATTTTTGCACGACTTTCGATGGGCGGCCCGTCAGAAAATGTTATTTGTGGCATAAATTTGGCCGAAATATTTTATACTTCTCAGTCAACATTCGCCATCTATATTCGTAACAGCGCTGATCTATTCTTGCTGCTAACTTAGTCACTGCTATTGTGGCTTGCCGCATTTCCTGTAGCTAATATAGCCAGTCAAAAGTACTTGTACCAAATGATGGGGATCTGCCCATTCGTTGACTAATACCATTCGGCACAGTTACCATACTCTTCGGTTTTACCCACACCAAAACTAATTAAAGGGGTCATGCAGATTTTTTCCTAGTTATACATGTGCGAGGTGCCAAGAAAATATTTTACAAATTGTAGTTGAAGAAACTACCAATTTTGCAAATTCGAAAGTGTTAATTCGCGAACACAATTCCCTTAACCTCCTTCAACAAATACTTTAAAGTATTATTCTTCATCCACATTTATTTAAGATTTTGTGCGCTGAATGACTGAAAATTAATATGAAAGCTTTCTGGAAATCCGAATGGTATAACATAGGAACGCAATTATTTTTCAATGAAATTCGTCAAGTACTCGCCTTCGTACCATTGCTGTACTTGTATGCATTAAGCGCAAAGGTTTATTGGTATTTTTCAGCGTTTTCTGATGTCTGACAGTTAAACGTAGTATAAAGATTAACAGCGATTTTTTCACAAAATTCATACTTTATCCAAGTAGAACTCCTCATTGTAACGACTAAATAGTTTTCTCCCCGCTGATTCGTCAACTTCGAATTTAAGTCACTTTTTATCATTAAGTTCTGCCATTTCCCTTCTAGCCTTGCTTTTTCATTTCGTAGGATATTTTCTTGAATGCAGGCACAATGCATCTACTTACGGCATATCACAGGATTTTGTGCTGCGCATCCACACTGTCACTCAGAAATGGGATCCATTTCTGGCCTCAGTTAGATAATATCTTTCTCTATATAGAGAAATGGAGGAAGGCTTGAGCTCCTTACCAAACGAATAATTGAATAGCTGCCCGAGTAAGTTTATTTTTAAGGAGCAGCAACTGACCGTCCTTTTTGCAAACAGAAGACTGGGACTCATTTCACGGCTACCTACGATATTTTTACTACCTTGGTTAAATACAGCAAATTTTGAATCTTTGAAAAAATGCTGCCTTCAATTTTTTTGACAAAAATTCGTGAGAAAGAATATATATTTCAAACGGACGTACTCAATGAAGATCTTGCGTAAATTTGTGGTCCGATCATCCATACGTGGGTATTTTTTGTCCAAAGACCGGTTCGTATGTAATTTCTTTCGAACCTTAGGAGTGTAAATTGCCGCATGTGGATTGAAAGCTTAAATTTCCTTCAAACTCATTGAATTAAACAGAACTGAAGAGGTGGGATCCAGGAAGCAGTAGTGAAGAAGTAGACGGTCGTTAGAACAGGAGGTTTATTCGCCTGACGTCTCGACTTAATGCTCGAACTTATCATAAGAGACTACAACAACTGAATTAACCGGTGCATACGCAAGCGGAACGAAAAGTCAAACGCACGAATCCAAAATTCTGGCGAGCGATCCCGTACGTCAAGAGAGTCTCCGAGGCCGTTAGTCGCCTTCTCGCACCACTTGGGGTTGGAGTTGCACACAGACCGGAGGCAACCAGTAGGCATCATATGATGAGACCAAAAGACCCACTACGACGGCAAGAAATATCTGGAGTCGTTTACCGGATTTGGTGCAGTTGGGGCAAAGAGACTGCGTCGGAGAGACCGGAAGACTGCTCCGGACGCGAATCACCGAAGACGCAGCCGCGGTGTGAAGAAATGACGCCAACTCTCAAGTCGCGTCCCACTCAATGAAACCCGGTCACACATTCAAGTTCTATGAGGCCGAAATCTTGCGTCATGGACCGTTGGCTCCCTGTCTATTAACAAGTGCAGTGACATCCCAACTCCATATTCGGTGCTGAGACTTGGCCTACGTGGAGTAATTGGCCATGCGAGGAGTTCACATGCGAACGCTGCTCCCACCATCAGGTTTAGTGGACCAGATAGACTAGCAGTCATTTCACCAGCATCCAACACCCGCGATGAAATTGCAATGACTAAGGACTCGAATGTCGGCCATCGGGTAATTGTCACACTAAGTGTAAAAATCCATGATGAAGGGGAGAAGGAGAAAGCCATGAATTTTCATAGGCACGCTGTGGTAAGACGACTGCACCCTATAACTACCTAAAACTACCTGTATTTGTTATTGTTTCTTATTATGGATTTGAGCATGAAACCGGAACGTTGGTGGAATAAATGTGCTGTTTAATTTCTTCCTGGATATACATGCACATATCTGTCCTCAAATATATAAGGCTTTTGAGTTGCCGTGTTTGCGCTAATTGCTGTCTTGCAGAATACTCAGAAGTGTGAAGAAACTTTTAGCGTCGTCCAGGTCTTAAGCATATTTTAATGATCGTAGCATGACTTAAATGTCATTTAAAGCCAAATTACCCAGCGGTGAATAATATTAAACTGTATGCGCAAAATGACCTCGACAAGTTTTTCCTTTACTGTTTGATAATGCTCGAAATGCAAGGAAAAAAAGTGTATATGCGACTGACCATGAACTTTAAGGGAATGCTTTTACTGGGTTGACAACTGGAACCATTTTATTAGTTTAAGGCACAGAGTGTAATAGGAATTAATAAAGGGATATGTAAGCCAGCGTTTTCGGAAATTGATGTTATCAATTACGGGAGGTTCGTTTTTGAATGCTTGTAGTAAAGTCCTGAAAATAGAAACCAAAATTTCGCCGTTCTTTATTGAAGGTTTTCTAATTCGACCTGCTTTACTCATAATTTTATCATCAATATTTATTGGGAGAATAAATTTACAAGATGGACACATCTTCCCGGGCGTAATATTTGCTTTTTTGCTGAGAAACTACTTCAAGATTATTGACATAAGCGTACGACTAAGTTTGCTAGCTTAGAGAATTATCTGTTAACTGCTTTTACAGCACATATGAACTTGCTACGTTTTAACGGCAATTGCGCTGTAGCTCACTTTTAGTTGGTTCATTTTGTACTGCGTAAATATTGAGATGCACTTCGTAAAATGGAGTAACAGAACGGAACAGAAAATACTACTCGCAAACTTGTGGCAACCTGCTGGGTCAAAAAATACCAACGTTGAAATGCGTCAGTGCATTATCAGATGAAGTACTGGATGCTTGGAATCCTACGAATCCTTCGCATTTGCAAAGAAGTCATGCATATTTACCAATATAAAAAGTAGGAAAAGTTTGAGAAGAAAACAACCCGGATTATCGCAATCGTTTTACTTTGCTCACTGTTTTGGGTCTTTTTTAAAATCCCACTTGTATTCTTGTACATAAGGCATGATTTGAGTTCAGATTAGGTCACGGATTTGCAGCGTCCGGAAGTAAGGTGTGTACGGGCGTTGCCCAGATTGAGACAGCGGAATGGAAAGAAGTCGCCAACTTAAGCAAAATAGAGTTTGAAATTTTGTGAAGTTCCTCTAAGCCCGGAGAATTTTTAAAACAGTCTTTGACAGGTTTCCTCCAACAGAAACCGAATCACTCTCGTAGGTTCTTCAGATACCTGTGAGCAGTCCTTGTCGGCTTTGCAATAAACGAAACAAAAGACAGGCGAAGCAACTGTAGGGGGTGTACAACTTCCGGGATATGGTGATCGGGTTTGAGATCTGAAAGAAAGAGACTAGGAAGTAACGCCAGCTTAAAAATAATCTTCAACGTCGGCTGACAGTTCAAGAGATGAGTCGTTAGTTTATTAGAAAAAAAATAGACTTGCTCACGGGAAGTTGCTGCTAATGCAAAATATGTTGTCCACTGTCCGTTCTGCAAGTAGTAATTTTGCATATATATCCACACGACCACAGGAACACGGCTTTTTGAAGGACCTCTGTCGACACTTAAACAAATTCACCGGGGTCTTCCTCAATCGCGCTGTTGGCATTTAGCCGTAACCGCGAAATTGCAGAACGGTTCGCAACTGTTTGATTTATTCGGGACACAGTCTCACCGGAGGGTGCAGAGGGCCGAAACTCAGAGCTGCTGGATTGAAGACTAAGTTTGTCCTCTTTGGAAAGAGAATCACTTCCCCGTTTGTTGCCCTTGGAGGCACGGGAATTTATTAGATGATCACTGCTCTTTGTGGTTGAGCTGTGGCTGCCGATACTCCCACTGCCTCCGCCACCATCATTGCCACCGGAAGGGATGCAGCTGCCCGGTGGGGGAGGTAGGGGTGGAGGTGCTGAGGAGAGAGACTTTGGAACAGGGGGAGGTGGGAGCCCAAGGGTGAAATGGTGTTTGTGTTGGTGCCCATCCACTGGCTTTCCAAGAACCGATACCTGTGGAGAACTGACACCCTGGACGGGGTAAGCCGAGTGCTGTCCTAAAGTGGAGCCGACCTCAGACTGCATTCCCCTATTCTCCCGTTTGGTCGCGTGGCTGTGACAGGAATGGCTGCTAGCTGATTTCTGTTTATTGTTGATGGGCAGGTTCCACCCAACGGGATCAGGAGGGGCATGCTTTTCGGGTGATTTGGCCAGCCCTACATCCTGTCGGCGTTTGAACATTTGCCATAATTTCTCTACAATCTCAGAAGCAACAAGCTCGCCAGCATTCTGTGCGACTAATCGCAGAATGAAGACTCCATCCTGCCGCAGGTAATTGTCTACGAAGGTGAAACTTCGCTTCTTTTCCCCGGGAGACAGGGCTTCACGGAGTTTGAGGAACTTGCGAATGAAGTGAATACGGTTATTGCGGAAACTCGATTTGTAGGACCAGTAAAGGAAACTGCTAGTAGCTACCGCGGCTACAAGAATGAACCAAAACCAGAGGAAAATGAAAATCTTTTCGTTGAACATATTGATAGGAAGAACACACTGCACGGTATAACGGTGTTTGTTGGCCAATTTCCTAATCTCAAAATCACACATTGTGATCCGAGGAAAGTTGCCCGACTCCTCCCACAGATGGCCTTCAGCGATGTCTCTAAGCAGATCGAGGCCGTAAAATGTGTAGTTCGTGCCGAGTATTCGGTTCATTAAGAAGAATTGTCCAACGACGTTGAAAATATAGAGAGCTTTGGTAATTAGATATAAGCAGATAAGGTAGTTTCCGTATCGTTTTCCAAACCAAAGACAACAGCTCCGCGCGAGAAAGTGGCGGCAACCGATGGTGCACCCGCCCCGGTATTCTCTTTGTGAGGTCAGGGCGTCTTCTATGTGGCGCGCGACATAACTGATATTCGACTTGCGCGACTCAGGATCTCGTATCATTTCAATGTCGCAGGAGACCTCCATTATACTGGACAACTAAAAAGAACAAAAGAGGATGATTTACTCATCTTAAGCTGGTAGATAAACAGGTTTTCAACTTCTAACTGTGAGGTTAGAAATCTGAGTCAAAGAGGTATTTTTATAAGGCTGACTGTTGCATAACTGTTAGATCGCTTTCCCTGCTGATGGCCAAGGCTTTATGGTAAAGTTCGCTTATTGACAAAGAGTTGACATTTGCGGATGCCTAAGAGATAGGACATAAGGAGCGTTCGTACCTGTCCAGAAGGGTTGAGAAGGAGAGCTCGCAGCATATGGCGCGCACTATGTCATGCTGACGTCGCACAAAACATGGCTTAATTGGTTTGAAGACTCATCGACATCTGAGAATGCCAGTAGTATCCAAAATAAGGAGAATGCGGGCTTCCTAAAACCTAGAGTAAACGCCAATTCGACTACGACTTTTTAAGAACAATAAGTATCTAACTTAACATTGGGAATGTCTATTTGCATGCTGATGGCATACCTAGTGAGCATTGCCGTCCGATTTGTGGGAGTTGTGAACCTACCGAAAGCCGGATTCCTTTCGTATAAACAAGGTTTTGACCCCCTATTCATAAATCCGTGCTTAGTTGACAATGTTATCAAAAATGTTTGACATAGAGGTTAACATTTACGCTTTGGAATTTCGATAGATGTCTTCTCAGCTAGCACGTAGTCCATTGAGTGAAATGCGAACATGTCAGCTAACTGGATTTAACTTAAATGAGAACTCAAGATACGCTTTCACTGAATGGCCGAAATCATACCTATCTTTAGCTTAAGAGTGAAGAACACAAGGTGTTTTTGAAACTGATCTAGACATTATATTATAACCTGCGCCTAGGCAAACGAAATCCAGTCGTAAGAATTAATTTTTGATCAGAATCTGCTCATGTTTTCGCAGAATGTAATGACTGCTGACTATTTGGGCATCATATGTCAATTGACGTTCACAGCTAAAGTTTCTGAGCACCGATTTACCTGGTTTTCATTATCTTATAATTCTCACTTGTGGTATATTAAAAATTTGCCAATGAATATAATAAACTGTTAATCATTGGAAGGAAAATGGGAAACCTCATGAGTTATCCTTCGGTAGTTTATTTTGTCATACGTCACTAGAAATGACAATGACAATACCACTAGTCAAGTATAACTTCATTTACAAGGCAGCCTCAAAGTTAGAACTGAAATACCCATAATTCAAAATAGACTTTAATATACTACGACGGGAGTATGATTGCCATAGGCGGGTTAGATAAAAAAAGGCACGATTGCGCACGAAAAATGTATAACACACTTACTTTTATAAGAGAGAATTATTACAGTTGTCACCACCACCTGCCAGGGTAACTGAGGTTTTGTTACAACGCGCATCTTTTCACCTATCATGTTGTAAAGTCTTCTCACCCACAGGGCGCCAGTGGACACTTACTCCACTGAAAAATGACATATTTGAGGTTTGTCAAAAGCGCAGTTGAATCCAGATTATCCACCCTTTTGTTCTAGCGGTCTGTCTTTATGAATAGCTGAAGTTTCGTTTCAGAAAACTTTGCAGAGTGATGCTCCTGAACATTCACCGTGTAATGCATACAGTAATCATTGCTCTAGCATAGATGTGGCCAGACATTTTGCTGTTGCTCTTCTCGCTATGTCTGCCTACGCCGAAACTCACTTACACGCGAATGGCGTCTATCTGGAACTATGAGCCAAATGTAAATTAAACATAATTCGTAGTTTCTGCAACTAGTAGATGCCTGAGATCTTTGGTACTCAGGTTCCTCGACGCTAATGGCATATTTGTGTGTTAACTGAAAACGATCAACTGCAAGTTGGTATCCTGGAAATCAGAAGACCGAGGGAGTAGGAATAACAAGACCAAAAAGATGGTGTGAAGGCAATGTCATCATTTTTGCAATTTGTGACACTATGTTGATGTTTATAACTGGGCATGGATAAGATGTGTCACCTTTCGAATTATAGTTTTTACCCTACCGAATCTTTGTTTCGTCTATGTGGAAACTCAGTACAGACACCAAAAATTTGATCGTGAGAAAACAGACAACCTAAACCGCATGAAAATAGAAGACCGGCAGTTGCAACAAATACGCTACTCTGATGGTGGAAGCGAGGATGTTTCCGAAACGTCAGCTCGAATACAATGTGGTCCATGAATTCGTCCTCTCTTCTTCTGCGTCTTCTTTGGAAGATGATGAACACGAAAGAATGAATGTGTACTCAGGGAAAACTTAAGTTTACAACAGTTATTTCACGAGTACCGACAGAAACTCAAATCACTTTATATATCATGCCACATTTTTTGTGATCACTTATTTATACAAACCAGGGCAACTCTACTTCGGTTAAAAACACTTTGGGGATCCACAGGGGTGATGAAGAAATTTACATCCTAAAAACCATCTAATTTTAAAGCGCAGAACTCATTGCGAGCCGAGAAGAGCTGGGCTGGCACACAGCTGCATGCTGTTCTTATAAAGAGGCTTGGTATATTTGGGCGCCTGGGACTCCATTCATTTCCATTAAGAACATATTAACACGAATTTCCTAGATCCACAGGCTCTTTTCCTTGTGGAATAATGGCCATTGATCGCATAAAAATTGTTGGAAAAATGTTAGGATACACTAAAACAGGGACGCATAAAGAGTTTATTTATGCATTCCGTGGTCATCAGCTGGTTAATGAGTTGCAAAGAGAACGTATGGCGCGAGTCAAAACAGAAAAGGATCTTTTTATGCTCTATACCGCTGGCTTCAAACTTTGACGGTAAAGCCTGAAAAATCATTAACGCAACTTTCCATCGGCCTTTTAAATATATTAACTCTAATTTCAATGCACTGATCAAATTCAAGCAACAAATACTTCACACATTATCTAATGAAAATTCTCCTAAATAAGAGGATCGGCCGCCATCAGGTAATCGCCGATAACATGTATAGAGGAAGCAGCATTTAAGTCAAGCACTTGTCGATTAAAGGCCTCAGATACACGTATGGCAGTCAGGCTTACAACAAATCTCCTACGAACACAAGTAAGGATTTATTCACTGGGGTACTAACACTGGGCCTGAAAAATATCATTCCCACGTTTAAATTCTCCTGTCATTTATACTTAAATTGCCTATCTATTTCTAAATACCATGGACTCTAACGGTGGCTTTCAAGCAAATCTAGTAGTTTTGACAAGTGCCTTACTTTACTAATCCCCATTACTCACACTGAGTT